CTAATTATCTCGTAATTATCTTCTTCCTGCTCTCCTCCGCAGTGGCCCTGGGCCCCTCGGGGACCTACAGCTCCAACAGCCCCGCCAGCCCCCTGAGCTCCGCCAGCCTCACCAGCCCCCTGAGCCCCTTCTCCCTCATCTCCGGCTCCCAGGGATCGCCCACCAAGCCGGGCCCCGGCGAGGTCAGTGACCCTCAGTGTCCCCTCTGTGTCCCCAGCGGGTCCCAGCGTGGCATTGGGGGTCGCTGGGCACCGGGCACGGAGCCGTGTCCCCTCGTGGCTCTGCCATTGTTGTCACATGGATGGGTCGTGGTGACTTTGGGGTCCGTGGGTCCGGAGGGATGGCAKCTGCTCCGCTCCAGAATCGTTTCCTGGTGCCACCCCAGCCCCTCCGTGACCCGCGGTGTCACCGCCACCTGTATGAAGTTTATTTAGGGTGGAATTTGGGGACTCCCCAACACCACCCGGCTGTCCGGAACCCTTCATTCGTGCCCTGCCTGGCCCTGGGGACGAGCGCGGGGACACGGGACGCACCGAGAGGGACACGGGACGCACCGAGAGGGACACGGGAGGCACCGAGAGGGACACGGACACCACGGGGCCGCCGTCCCTTCCCCGCCGCGTTCCGCCTCGAGTCTCTTCTCTAACTCTCTCTTCCTTCTCTGCTCTCACGCCTCCCGCTCCCGCCCGCCCCAGGAACCGGGCCCGCCTCGACCTCCCCTCCCCAAGTCCTACGTGCCCCTGGAGTCTCCTCCTCCGGCCGTTCCTCCGCTCCCCAGCGAGAGCCGCCTCTGGCCCTACCCCGCCTCCCCTTCCTGGCACCAAAGCGCTGGAGAGGCCAAGCGGGGACAGGTACCGACCCTCCAGGGCAGCCGCCGCCCCTTCCTCCTCCTCCTCTTCCTCCTCCTCGCGGCGTGGAAGGGGCCGGGATGAGGCAGGACACGGAGCTGCCCGCCCCAAATCCACAGAGACAGCGCGGAGGTGACACTCGGTGCGGGGACAGCACCTCCCGCACGCCCCTCGTGTCCCCAGCAGGTCGCCACCTCCCCGTGCACACTCAGGACAGGGATTGTCCCCTCCCCAGGCGAGGTTGTCCCCGGCACTGCCCTCTCTGCTTCGCTCTGCCCTCGCCTCTGTCGCTGTCCTTTCGTGTCGCCGCYGCCCGTGTGGCGCTGGCAGGCGCGGATCGGGATTTGGGAATTCCCGGTGACGCCTCGGCCGGGAAAAGTGACACGGGTGACAGGAGTGTCCTCGCAGCTGGGACTGTGCCGAGCTGGGAAGGGGCACGGTGACAGTGCAGGTGGCATTTCAGCTGCCGCGGGTGGCACAGGGTGGACCCAGCGTTGTCAGGACAGGGACACRGCTGCTGTGCCCGTTGTCACACCCCTCTGTCACCAGAGCAGTTCCTGGGCTGTTCCCGTGGGATCCAAGAGGGGAAAGATCCCAAAAATGTCCCTCTGCTCGCTCTCACACCCCTGTGTGACCCCATCTTCTCCCGTGGGCACGGGGGGCTGCTGGAGCCCCGCTCAGAGGCGGGATGTCCCTGTCCCCGAGCTCCTGGTGGCTCTGCAGGGATTGTCACCTCGCTGGAAGATTTGTCCCATCCTGTGGGGACAGCGGCGGGTCCCCAGCCCTGACAGGATGGGACACAGTAGGGACAAGAGCAGAGCACCCTCAGCCCCTCTCCCCACAATTTCGGGGTGCTCTCCGTGTATCCACGGTCCGTTTGTCACCCCAAGAGCCGCGGGTGTCCCCAGGCACATTGGATGTCCACTGTCCGTGTGTCCACGGTCCCTTTGTCACCTCAAGAGCTGCAGGTGTCCCCTGTCCGTGTGTCTACGGTCCCTTTGTCACCCCAAGAGCTGCACGTGTCCCCTGTCCGTGTGTCCACAGTCTGTCACCCCAAGAGCTGCGGGTGTCCCCTGTCCGTGTGTCTACGGTCCCTTTGTCACCCCAAGAGCCGCAGGTGTCCCCTGTCCATGTGTCCATGATCCCTTTGTCACCCCAAGAGCCGCGGATGTCCCTAAGAGCTGCAGGTGTCCCCTGTCCATGTGTCCATGATCCCTTTGTCACCCCAAGAGCCGCGGATGTCCCCAAGAACCGCGGGCGTCCCCTGTCCCTGTGTCCATGATCTCTCACCCCAAGAGCCGCAGGTGTCCCCAGGCACACTGGATGTCCCCTGTCCGCAGGACTGCCACCCACCCGGGCCATTTTTCCCCCCACAGCCCAAGCCAGGCTTCGAGCAGAGCAAGAAGGAGCCCCCCCGGCCCAGCCCCCCCGGCCCCGCKGCCGAGGGGCTCCCGCAGARCCGGCCGGAGCAGGACGGGGACAAACTCAACAAGGGTACGACCCTGGGGACAGCCGGCGGGTGGCACTGGGACCCTGCGCTGTGTCCCCGAGGGGTCACCCGGCGGCTTGGTGTCCTCCGCAGTGGGAATCGTCCCTCCCAGGACCAAATCTCCGGCGGAGGAAGAGGCGGTGCAGCGGAGGAACGGCCTGGCCAACGGGCTCRGCTCCCGGGTAGGGCTTGGTGGGCTCTGGGGGTGCTCGGGTGGGGGTCTGAGGGTGCCAAAGGTGGGGCTGCTCTGTGCAGCCTGGGGACAGTGCGGCCGTGTGGCTCTGTGTGTCAYCCTCCACCTCCTGGAGACCCGCAGRGTGATTTYGGCGCGTCCCCGCCATCCCGGGAGTGGCATCCTGAGGGTGACACCCCAAGAGTGGCACCCCAGMGCCCCACGGCACAGGGGGGCCACCAGCGRGTGACCGCGGTCCTGCTGGTCCCCAGGAGCGACCCAAGAGCGCCGTGTTCGCCGCCGAGACCAAGGTGAAGATGAGCGTGGAGGAGCAGCTGGACCGCATGAAGCGGCACCAGAGCGGCTCCATGAAGGAGAAGCGGCGCAGCCTGCAGCTCCCCAGCCCCCAGCAGCTGCCGGGCCCCCAGCCCGA